AGAGAGAGAGAGAGAGAGAGGTATTACTAGTGTGAACTGCATCAGTTATTGTAGATTCTACATTTTTTTGCCTTCACATAGCATGATCTCTGTGAATCGAATCGAATCGTTTCCCCTTTCAGGGCGGTCAGATAAATTGTACCGGCGTGGACTGTCCTTCTCCAGAGTGCGAGGTGCCCAGATTTATCCACGGACAGTGTTGTCCTACATGTGATGGTGAGTGACCTTTCACCTTCGTTGGTCATGTCTTGTTGGGGTCACCTTGTAAGCGTCTCCACCTGTTTCTTGGTGTCAGTGCATGAGTTGTTTGATTGTGAGTTTCTGCATTTCTATAAAATATTTTGTTTCCGTTGTTTTCTTTTTCTTTTTTTCTTTGGGGGAGGGGGGTTAAACTTTAAGCACTTACACGATATTGGCAATACGAAGAACATATTCTTACAAATGGGAATTCGAAAGCAGGTAACCCGTTTTTCTGAATGTTTTTGTTTATTCATTTCTTTTAAGACAAAACAAAAAGGAAAAAATAACACGAATACAAATTATATAAACACAATGAAAGCCTGTCGCCCACATTTTAAGGGGGGGGGGGTCTCTTTCTTTTAAGAGAGGGAGAGAGAGGGTTGGGGGGCGGTGGCATTCTTATTAGGTTCAACTTCCAGTATGGTGAAATGAGTTGAGAAGACGCTTGTATGATATTGTGTCCCTTCGTTTCCATAAAAAAGCATGCCGTTTGTTGTGACTGAAAAGCATGCACTTGTTTTAAATGCGTATGTGTGTTTTTTTTCTATGAGAAAATAAAGCATGCCAATGATTATTCCTATTTGAAAAGAATGCACACATATTGTGGACTTCATGACAATTCAACTCGAGAAAAGCAAAATACCAATACAAATGTGAATATTATTCTTTTGACGAACTTTTACATGTGCAGAGATATCTCTTTAATGAACACGAGAATTCTGCGGGTGGTTGGAAGGCAGCATTTATAAATCCCTCTGCTCTTCTTTCGCGGTGTTGTCTCTGTACATGTGTCTAGCTCATTTTATCCTGCCACTGAAAGGGAATTTTGGGCTCTCTGAAAGGGCAGTTTTGAGTTGACGTGCTTTTCTTTACCTAAAGTAAACAAAATCAAAACAGTTGACTCCTTTCCTCATCTCAAGCCAATTTCATCTCAC